ACACTAAGGACAAAGATCCTACATGAGGAGTAAGTGCACAGTGACTCCTGTTACATACTTCTATTTTAGTGTTTTCTTTAAGTATCATCACTAAATTTTAACAAGTGCATGTTCAGTATCATTCATTTTTCTCCTCAGTTTTATTAATATGAGGAATTTTATTAATGTCAAAGTATGTTTTCATTACTATAATAAATCTCAGTTGCTTGTGATAGTTTGTTCTTGTAATATAGTGCCAGATTCTGCTCGCTCATATTTAATACAGAAATATAGCACTGGTATTCACTACAGAACTTGTTATAATTCCATCTTACTGTGTTTATTGCACTTTTGCATAATTATATTGTTACTTCATGAAAATAATTGTAAAATTTTCGACCTTGGTACTGCTTAAGATTCTACTTTTTTAAATTTTGATGGAATTCCTCCATGAGACCACCTGGCTGGTAATCAGTTGGTGCTGGGAGAGGCAGGTGCCCATTGATAATTATTAGTTATTCATTAATAACAATTAGTTTCAGTGTATTTTCAAAAAAAAGGTTTGCTTATATATTTAGTCTTTTCGTGGATCAAGTTTGCAAGTCTTTTTTAAGAGAATAATCAATTTCATAATACTTTATTTTTCATTAGTAGTTTTTCAAAATATCTAAAGTATTTTAAAATTTCTTATTTTTAAAACCTGTGCTACTCATGATACATTTTGTGCTAATTTTGTTTCCTTCACTCTGTATTCTCATTATTTAAGCTGTTAGGATAGCTACTCACCACAAGATTTTAAGAAAGAAACATTAACATTTTTAAAAATTTAGTATTCATATAAAAAGAAGATTTCATTTATTTCATAGATAAAATTCTAAGATAATCGTACATCCCTTCCTCATTCCTTCCTTCCCTCAACACTCTCTTCCTTCTTTCCTTTCTTTTATTTCTTTCAACTTTTGCAATAACAGTTTATAATCACAGGCTTAATGCACCACTAACTATAATGTTCAACAAGAAAAAGTAGAAAGCCCACTGAAGAACCATTTTTGACTACTGTATTATCTTCTTTATTTTGTGTTATGCTTTATCTTTAGTTCACTTCAGCTAATTTGCTAACACTAAAATTATTTTTAATGAACACTGAAGTGATTTATTTCCCTCCTATTTTCTAATTTGTATAAGAAAATATTTGTTTTAAGAAAATATTTTTAATTGGGTATTTGTGGAACAATAGCTGTTATAATTTTTGTATTTTATTAATTCATATTTTTATTAGGTTGTGATAAGAAATAATTTCTCCTTTATTTAAACTTTTATTTATTGTGGTGTGGGATTTGTTGAAATGTTCAATGGCCTGATATATGATTAATTTTCATAAATAGTGCATGGATCCCCAGTGTTGTGCACTGGTATTTGCACTGGCAAAATTCTATGTATCAATTACATATTATCTGTTACATATTATCTTCATAAGATACAGCTTATGTGTTATATCTGCTACATTAATATTTATTTTGCCAGCCCATATGGTTTTATCATGGCCCTTTTTGTCTATTTTTCCTAGTTATTCCAATAACTTCTTCATGTTGAAAGCCAATGCTACACTATTTTATGCTTGAATATTCAAAACCATCCTATAGTCACTATGAATTTTTACACTGTAGTGATATATCATGTCCTTTCAAAAATTAATACTCTGGGGCCTGTTTTTAGATTTGTAGGATACTAAGAACACACAGAGCATACTTTTGTTGGCCTGGTAAAACTTCGCTCGTCATTTCACTCTTAATCAATTAAAATCATTGAAATTATTGGTATTGCTATGCCTCTCATATAGAACATATTGAAGTTTTACTCTATGATCCAATCAGTAGATAATTTTATTGTTACAGTTAAATCCATGTTTGTTTCTCAGTATGAGCCTTCATTGCAGATGAGGCCCAAACCCCTCTCTCGGTGGACCTGGAAGAGCCTCTGTTCTGAGGTCCAAAGCTGTCTGCTGCAAGGGTCCCTCTGACACAGTGGAAGGTTAGCCTTTTGTCTATTCTGATCTTCAACTCACAGGAGAAGGTCCTCCCACATAAAGAAGAGTGCTGGATCTACTTTATTAAAATTGCTATATTTAAATGCAAGTCTCATCTAAAGCACCCTCACAAAAATATCCAGTGTGGCATTTATCCAAATATTTGGGGCAATTTTGTCTATATAATTTGGCATAATTTTCAACATATGATGTCATTAGGCTTACATCTAACTATTTCAAATTAAGCAATGCATGAACTCACACTAAAAATCTGTTCATCTCTTCTCAATTTTAGTTATCTCATTTCTTCGTTGTCAGATCATATGATAGTATTCATAGTCCCACAAATTTCCTCCTTTGTTTTTGTTCTAGTATTGAGGGAATATCGTTAGTCTTAGGATTGTGTTTAGGAACCACATTGAATCTCTTATCTGTATTAATATCATATTAACATGAAAAAGTACGAGATAATAAAATAATTTTAAAAGATTCCTGTCCCTACTTGATGGATTGATATCTTTGAATAACAATTTTCTTAAAAAGGCTTGTGTGAAAATTCTGAATATTTCTCTTTTTTTACTTCTTTCAGAATTTTTACTTGAGGTATACAAGTTTCATGTTTTGTGTACACAGATTTAGGAACCTAGTGATATTTTCCACCCCATTCTCCTTCCTGCCCATGCTCCTACCTTTGTTCCTCCTCCCTCTTTTACCACCACTTTTTTTTTTAAATTTTATTTAAGTTTTATCTGTTCCATGTATTTCATATATACAGATTTAGGAACATAGTGATTCTCCCCACCCAAGTCTCCCTCCCACCCATGCTCCAACCCCACTCTTGGTTGAGTAACCACCCTGCTCACTGGCCAGGCTGTGTATGTAAGCTTTAGAACCGAAAGACGTTAGCCATGTTCAGCGTCTTTAACTCACTTTCCTTCTGAAAACAGTTTTGTGATCATGGCTTCCTTAAACATTCTGTCCTTGGATGCTGTTGCAGGAATTGATAGAAGACTTAGATTTCCTTCCAGGAAAATATACTTGACCTTTTTATCTTCTCCCAAAGGGCATCTTCTTAAGTGTCATATTGTTTTTCCTTTTTCTACTCCATATATCAATGGTATTCATGATCAGATTCATTTCTTGTCAGTTTTTGTTGGAGTGTGTTGTGTCTTTTCCATGCATGGATTGAAGCTATCTTTTATAATTATGAAGAAGATTTCCTGAATTTGATTTTAAATAGTTACACTGTTCACCTGCATTGTTTTTCTTCTTCAGGGACTTGAATTATTCCCCCCATATTCCATGCCTATGGTTGTCAGTGACTCCCCTTGTTTGAGTTTGTCCTTTGTGCATGTGTCACAACCTGTGCCGTTGTCTGTGGTGCTGCTTTGTTTCCTGCGTTTCTTGAGGTTCTGTTTTTATTCCCCAAAGGATGTTATGTTTATCCATCTTCATTTCCTTAGACACCATTCCAGTGCTCACTCACACCTCAGTCTTCTGGTCATCACTGCCTATTGTCAAACTGCCCTTTTCTCAACCTGGTACTTCTACATTGTGCTGTATTTCTGTAATTTTTATTGCTGTATAATTATGTTTTTCCTCAATTCATGATAGAGTTTTAGATTATCATTTTTATCCTTTCTGTGGAATTTATTTTCCCATTTTCCTAACTAGAGAGCATTGTTCTTTTTTTGTAGGCCATTTCTACAAGAGTTAAGTATTTCTTTCTTTCTAACATTAGCCATATGTAAATAACAGTCATTGTCCCAGGCTGGCTCTGAGAAGTAGTCTTAAGAGGTAGACAACAGAGGCTCCTGACTCAAAAGGCTTTGAACATCTGCTCTGTCTCTAAAGCAATAAGTCCTTTATTTAAACATGATCCTCTGTGCAGAGACACTGTTTTACTTCTCAGAACCCCATCAGATTCATAAGAGCTTCTCCCGAGTACAGGGAGGTCTCCTCATGGCTCCCCTTGGTGATTGCTCTTAGGATACGTTCCTGAAGAAAGGGAGATGCATTCTGAGATTTGAATCCTTTTACCTATTCTCCTGGAAACTTCTTTTCCATTTCTAGTAATCTTACCATAGTTTATTATTACTGACAATAGTTTCTATTTAAAATGAGATCCTTTCTTCTAAGAATGAACACTTGCTAGTACTTCACAATATTTGCCACTACTAGTTCTGTGCAGCTTTCGATTTTTGTCCACAGCATCCATCTCCATCCTCTGTACGTGTTCAACTGACTTTGGAAACAAGTGCATACAACTGGGATTTCCCGATCATCTGTCTCCTAATATTGTTGCATACAGATGTTTGCTTTCATTGGTGTTCTCCTCACTGATGTCTGCTTAGTGAAAAATTAGAATCACTTGGAAAAAAGCTACCCTGTTTCCATCAGGATATACAGTTTGGTTCTAAAGATTTAATGAGCATTTGCTCAGGGAACTCAGATAACTCATATGCAATTTGAAATCAGTTTTGTTCTGGTTTCCCTACAACATGAAAAACATCTTCCATGACCATCCTACTTTATGTTAATTCAAATATGGTGTGTCTATTTACAATAAAATTGTTTTCTGATTCTAATGTAACACATGGACAAATAGGAAATTAAATTATTTCAAATAGTGTTATTATTCTTTATTGAAATGGGATGAGATATAGATGGTTAAGGGAACAAATTGCCAGAGTAGAACTAAGTCAAGTTTTTTTTTTTTTATGTTCACTTAACTATTAATCATTTAACTATCACACAGATCAAGATGTATACAATAACTGGCATCACAGAGATCATTGGCATGTCCCATAATACTCAGTGCCGCCCCAAACACTGTATATCAGCTTACTCCATAGGATATGTTTGCCTATATTACATAGGGGTGAAAAATTTACACTCTTTTCCCTCTAACTTCTGTTACTCAACATTAAATTTGTTAAGTTATTGACGTACATTCATTACTACTCCATGCTGTGTTGTATGACAATTTACTTACCTGTTCTATTCTTGGTAACACTGGCATTGTTTCCAACCCACAGCATTCATGAATGTTATTACCATGAATGCTAGTATATATGCCTGCCGGTGATACTGGTTTGCATCTACCTAGGACACATGAATACAGGTAGAAGTACTGAATTCTTTCCAAATTCCCTTTAACCCACATATAATTATGAGAAAAATAACAAACACATTTTAATAAACGGGCAACCTACAAAAGATCTAACCTATTTGGCGCTCAGTTAGTTGTCAAGGAGAACATATGATATTTGTCCCTTTGGGACTGACTTATTTCACTCAGCATGATGTTTTCCAGATTCCTCCATTTCATTTTTTTGACTGCTGTATAGTATTCTATAGAGTACATGTCCCACAATTTCTTTATCCAGTCTACTGTTGATGGACATTTAGGTTGATTCCAGGTCTTAGCTATTGTGAATTGAGCTGCAATAAACATTAAGGTGCAGACAGCTTTTTGTTTGCTTGTTGAAGTGAAATGGACACTAAGAGAAACAGTGACTTGATCAGCCGTTGTCCTGACTGTTGATGAACAACTCAATACTTTATGCCTTTTAGTATTTTTTGTCCTACTTAATACTATTGGTTGAACTCTGTAATTAACACAAAATTATTCTTAGGTGTTTAAATTTAACTGAAAAGTGATCTCTGTTAAATATAAGAGTTGGAATAAGAGAGGGAGGAGAGGTACAATTTGGGACATGCTCAATTGGACTTGCCCCAAAGGGTAATTAGAAACATTCTAGGGGATTCCAATTCAATCCCATCAAGGTGGCATGTACCAATGCCAGCTCACTAGTCCAAGTGATCAATTTCAGTTCACAATTGATCATAATGATAGGTCCAAGAGTCAAAGAGATTGCATAAATAACTAGTGTCTGCTAATACTAACTGATAGAATCAACAAGGAGAGAAGGATCCAACATGGGAAGCGAGATACACAGCAGACCCATAGAATGGCAGATGTCCTAAACAGCACTCTGGCCTCAGAATCAACCCTTAAGGTATTTGGATCTGGCTGAAAAGCCCATGAAAGTATTTCAGGCATGGAAAGCCAAGACACTGTGCCAAAAAAAAAAAAAATAAAAAAAAAAGAAAAACTAAATGAAAGATCTCAGGGAGTCAGATCCCAGTGGAAAAGAACAGGTCATCAATGAAGGAAGTACCTTTCTCTGAAGGGAGGAGAAAACTTCCACTTTGACTATGACCTTGTCTGAATAAGATCGGAGTCAGCAAACTCAAAAGGCTTCCATAACCTTGGCAACTCATGACAAGAGCCTAGTGTGATTACTGACTCCATAAACAAGAGTGTCAATGGTTAAGTCAACAACAGAAGTCACTGTGCACTTACTCCTCATGTAGGATCTCTGTCCTTAATGGGTTGTACTATGTGAATTAACGGTATAACTAATACTCAAACAGTACTTTACACTTTGTGATTCTGTGTGGGTGCAAACTGTTGAAATCTTTACTTAGTATATACTAAATTGATCTTCTATATATAAAGAGAATTGAAAATATATCTTGATGTGAATGGGATGGCAGAGGGAACGGGAGATGGAGGGGTGCGGGTGGGAGGGAAGTTATGGGGGAGGGGAAAGCCATTGTAGTCCATAAACTGTACTTCGGAAATTTATATTTATTAAATAAAAGTTAAACAAAAGATCTAACCATTCTTCATCAAATCTGTCAAATTAATTAAAAACAAGTATAATCCAAGAAACTGTGGCAGCCACCAGGCACCTAAAGAGATAGAACCTAAGATACAAAGTGTTGTCCTGGATGGGCTCCTGGAAGAACAGAACACGAGGAACGAGGTAAGTATATCTGAATAAGGCATGCACTGTAATCCATACCAATGTCTCAACATTGATTCACGGGCCAGCGCTGTGGCACAGCAGATGGAGCCGCACCTGCAGTGCCAGCATCCCATATGAGCACCAGGCCGAGTCCTGGCTGCTCCACTTCCGATCCAGCTCTCTCTTATGGCCTGGGAAAGTGGTGGAAGACGGTCCAGGGGCTTGGGCATCTTCATGGGAGACCCTGAGGAAGTTCCTGGTTCTTGGCTCCTGGCTTCATATTGGAGCAGCTCAGACCGTTGCAACCAATTAGGGACTGAGCTAGTGGATGGAAGACTTCTCTCTCTTTCTCTTCATCTCCTTCTCTCTGTGTAACTCTGACTTTCAAATAAATAAATAAATCTTTTTTTTTTTTTGCTTTCAAACTTTTATTTAATGAATATAAATTTCCAAAGTACAGCTTATGGATTACAATGGCTCCCCCCCCCATAACGTCCCTCTTACCCACAACCCTCCCCTTTCCCACTCCCTCTCCCCTTCCATTCACATCAAGATTCATTTTCGATTCTTTTTATATACTGAAGATTGGTTTAGCATACATTAAATAAAGATTTCAACAGTTTGCTGCCACACAGAAACATAAAGTGAAAAATACTGTTTGAGTACTAGTTATAGCATTAAATCTCAATGTACAGCACACTAAGGACAAAGATCCTACATGAGGAGTAAGTGCACAGTGACTCCTGTTGTTGACTTAGCAAATTGACACTCTTGTTTATGGCCCCAGTAATCACCCTAGGCTCTTGTCATGAGCTGCCAAGGCTATGGAAGCCCCCTGAGTTCACTGACTATGATCATATTTAGACAAGGCCATGGTCAAAGTGGAAGTTCTCTCCTCCCTTCAGAGAAAGGTACCTCCTTCTTTGATGACCCATTCTTTCCACTGGGATCTCACTCGTGGAGATCTTTCATTTAGGTTTTTTTTTTTTCCCCAGAGTGTCTTGGCTTTCCATGCCTGAAATAGTCTCATGGGCTTTTCAGCCAGATCCGCATGCCTTAAGGGCTGATTCTGAGGCCAGAGTGCTGTTTAGGACATCTGCCATTCTATGGGTCTGCTGTGTATCTCACTTCCCATGTTGGATCATAAATAAATCTTAAAAAAAAAAAAACAAATAAACATTGGTTCCTTTATTGTGGTAAATGTACCATACTCCTGAAAGAAGGTGATCACAGGAGAATGTGGGCTATGTCATAGGAGAGCTTGTTGCACTTCCTTCCCAATTTTTGTGTAAACAAAATCTCTTATAATACCAAAGTTTTCTTAGAAATAAAACTAACTCAATCTTTTTTTTTAAGATTCAATATTTATTTATTTGAAAGTCAGAATTACAGAGAGGGGGGAGAGGAAGAGAGAGAGAGGGCAGATCTTCCATATACTGGTTTATTCTCCGTGAGGCTACACTGGCCAAGGGATGGGCCATGGAGCCAGTTCATGTCCCTATTGATCTATTTTTCATCCAGTACCCTGCTATGGACCTGGGACAAGCAGCAGAAGAGGGCCCAAGTGCTTAGGCCCTGACACCCATGTGAGAGACCTGGCTCCTGGCTTTGGGCTGGCTCAACTCTAGTTGTTGCAGCTACGTGGGGAGTGACCCAGTAGATAGAAGAACTCTCTCGCTGTCTTTGTCTCCTCTGTCTCTGTCTCTCTATCTCTTTCAAATAAATAAGTACATCTTAAAACATAAATACATTTGTGTTTCATAGGTTTTTTAATATTCAATAATTAAATTTCATATTTCTGAGAAAACATGCTCAGGATGAATGAAGTAATAGTCACCTTTGTTTTCAGTAATGTTATTAAAAATTCCAGTCAGCTTGGTGGCACAGCTGATTAAGTCATCATCTGCAATGCCAACCTCCTATATCAGAGTGGTGGTTTCCATCCAAGATGCTCTGCTCTCAACCGAGCTTCCTGCTAATGCACCTGAGAAAGCAATGGATGATGGCCCAAGCACTTGGGCCCCTACTACTTACGTGGGAGACCCAGATGGAGTTCCAGGGTACTGACTTCAGCCTGGCCCAACTCTGACTCTTGTGGTCATTTTGAGGGGAGAGGAGAATCAGCAGATGGAAGAGATTCATTCTCTCTCTCACTGATTTGCAAAATAAATAGATAAATTCTTAAAAGCAGACTGCATTTAAAAGCTGGGTTAAATATCTGATAGTATATTCTACTGCAAGTATGTCTTCTCATTTAATCTCTTACTGTAAACAATGATTACATTAGACTTGTTTGAAATCCAGAAAACAAAATGGCTAACATCACCCCCCACTCAGGAAATTTCTTCTGATAAAAAATGATTTGCTTTTTTTTACATTTATATTTGATTTTATTTTATTTAATGAACGTAAATTTCCAAAGTACAGCTTATGGATTACAATAGCTTCCCCCCCTCCTCATAACTTCCCTCCCACCCACAACACTCCCCTCTCCCACTCCCTCTCCCCTTCCATTCACATCAAGAATAATTTTCAATTATCTTTATATACAGAAGATCAGTTTAGCATATATTAAGTAAAAATTTCAACAGCTTGCACCCACACAGAAACACAAAGTGTAAAATACTATTTGAGTGCTAGTTATAGCATTAATTAAACACCTAAGAGTAATTGTGTATTAATTACAGAGTTCAACCAATAGTTTTAAGTAGAACATAAAAAATACTAAAAGGGTAAAGTATTAAGTTCTTTTTTTCTGTTTCTTTTTTTGTTTGTTATATAGTTTTTTTTTTATTTAATAAATGTGAATTTACAAAGTGCAGCTTTTGTATTGTTGTGGCTTCCCCCCTCCCCAACCTCCCTCCCTTCCGTGGCCCTCCCCTCTACCACTCCCTCTCCCATCCCGCCCTTCATCGAGTTTCATTTTCAATTACCTTCATATACTGAAGATCAACTTAGTATATACTAAGCAAGGATTTCAACAGGTTGCACTCACACAACCGCACAAGGTATAGGGTATTGTTCGACTAGTAGTGTTGTTTTTAAGTTTCATAGTAGAATACATTAAGGACAGAGATCCTACGTGGGGAACATGTACCCAGTGACTCCCGTTGTTGATTTAACAATTGGCACTCTTATTTATGACACCAGCAATCACCCGAGACTCTTGCTATGAGCTGTCTAGGCTATGGAAGCCCCTTGAGTTCACCAACTCTGACCTTGTTTAGTCAGGCCGTATCACAGTGGAGGTTCCTTCCTCCCTTCAAAGAAAGGCGCCTCTCTCCTTGAAGCTTTTACTTTCATAGGATGAAAAGCTTTGCTTTCCTCCAGAAGCACTTTGTCAGAACTCCTCAGTAGAAAACTCTGTTTATATTTTTTTTGCCTTTGGCAGGTCACGGAAGATGTCAGACTGGCTGACTTAAAAATTTGAGCTCCTGATAATTCCAAGGAAGTGCCTACAGGTGCTGACAGAACAGTGTGGCAAGTGAAGGAAGAACATTCCTTGAAGGACAAATTAATTCTAGCTCTTTTGTCTACAGCTACCTATAAGCCTACAATTTATGGCATTAAAAGATAAAGCTCTCAATTACTGTTAAATGTAGGCCAGAGCTCCACTTAAGAGTTTCTTTTCAGGAAGACCATAGCTTTATATTAAATTATTAGTGAGGGAAAAGACATTGTATTGGGAAAAAAAAAAACAAGAGAAAACTTATTCTGGGTTTGAATCTCAATTAGGTATTTGTGTTTGAGCAAATTTTCTTATATCTCTAAGCCGTGATTGCCTTATCTGTAAAATAAGCACAAACATATGTGTGCTTAGATTGTCATGAGTATACTCATATGTGTAGGTGATTTCTGTAGTACACATGAAACTCTTAATTGGTTGCTATTTTTTTTTTTTTGACATGTAGAATGGACAATGAGAGAGAGAGACAGAGAGAAAGGTCTTCCTTTTGCCGTTGGTTCACCCTCCAATGGCCGCCACGGCTGGCGCGCTGATCGGATAGCAGGAGCCAGGTACTTCTCCTGGTCTCCCATGGGGTGCAGGGTCCATGTACTTGGGCCATCCTCCACTGCACTCCCTGGCCACAGCAGAGAGCTGACCTGGAAGAGGAGCAACCGGGACAGAATCCGGCACCCCGACTGGGACTAGAGCCCAGTGTGCCGGCACCGCAAGGCGGAGGATTAGCCTAGTGAGCCGCGGCGCCGGCCCATTTGGTTGCTATTTTTTAAGTGCACACTTGCAGCCCAACCCCTGTCAACCTTTTCTTCCAACATCTCTTTTTGTTCTGGTAAAAAATGTATGAGAAAAGCTATTGTCTGATTTCTGATATGATCCTCTGATTCAAAAAGCTAAAGAAAATAGTTCCTCTATCGTCCCTTCTTGGCAGAGATGTATGACAAAACCCAACCAATCAAATGTATTTCAGGGAAATGCTCAGGCATGGGCCATTGACATAAAGTCAGAAGTTCACTGGTTGTGACAGTGAAGTATCTTTTACACCTCAGATCCGTGCTGTCTTCCTTGTCATGCTCCAGAAAGCCCTTGATGTCTCCAACAAGCCAGTGCGTCCCGTGGAATCCTTTAAAATTATTTTCCCCTTTTAGTTACTTAAAGTGAGGTTAAATTATTATGTTATCCTGGCTAAGCTCTCAGTAACTTCAGATTCTTGATATACAAAATTGTGATAATAACAAAGAGTTATAGGCTTCTGGTAATTAACTTATGTAAAGCATTCACAAGAGCAGAGAATGTAATTATTTGTCAGCATTTTTCTAACTGATTTAAAATACTGTGATACTTTAAGCAAGATTTTAATAAACATTTTTAGTACTAGTGCAAGGAAATAAAACATTAAGTTGGATAACCCAATCTTTTTTTTGAGAAGTGCTATATCTAAAACAAACTTTCCATTAGCACTCTTTTAATCCCTTGCTACTTGGTGAAATTGGCTTATGATCTTTCGTGTTTATTGAATGCCCAAAATGCTTTAATTTATTCTTAATTGTTTACTAATCTTTGCATGGATCAGATGCCTCCTTCTCTGAACATGCTTTGTCAACATCTGCAGAAAAATCTTTGTTAGCCAGATAGTATGGGATTTACTATGAGACAAACAAGAACTCAGATTTTTATTAGTGGTAAAATGTTATAGCTTAGCAATTCTAAAAGAAATAATTTGCAACCAACAAATCTGTGGCCAGAAACTAATGTTTTGAAATTTCTCCCAGTATGTATTTTTTTGTTTGGAAATTTTTTATTACTTAATTAATTAATTTTAGTGAGTGAGAGAGAGAGAGTTACAAACAGGGAAAGAGTGAGACATGCAGAGATCTTCCATCGTTGGTTATTCTCCAAATGCCTACAACAGCTGGAAATGGGATACATAGGAGTCAGGAATTCAATTCAGTCTTGTCAGGACCTAAGTGTCTGAGCCACTTCGCATGACACACATTAGCAGAAAGCAATAATGAAGAGAATTACCGAGGGGCCGGCCCTGTGGTGTAGCCAGTAAAGCTGCTGATGCAGTGCCAGCATCCCATATGGGTGCTGTTCCTGTCCCAGCTGTTCCCCTTCCAATCCAGCTCTCTGCTATTTTTCTGGGAAAGCAGTTGAAGACGCCCAAGTGCTTGGGCCCCTGCATCCATGTGGGAGACCTCGAAGAAGCTCTGCTCTGGCTTCTGCTTCAGATCCACTGAGCTCCAGCTGTTGCAGACATTTGGGGAATGAACCACCAGATGGAAGACCTCTTTCTCTCTCTCTCTTTCTCTCTCTCTCTCTATCTCTCTGCCTCTGCCTCTCTCTAACTCTGCCTTTCAAATGAATACATATAAAAATAAATCAATAAAAATAAAAGGAAAACCAGAACTCAAACCCAGGCACTCAAATATGGGATGTGGTTGTGCCAAGTGATGGCTTAACCACTGCACCTAAGAGCCACCCCTTTTGTCCATTCTGAGATGATTTCTGTTTATGATGAGAGATAAAGATCCAATTACATTTTTTTCTGTCTGAACATCCTTTTTTCCCAATACTACTTATTATCTTGTTCGAGAGGAAGAACAATACAATGTCAAATGAATTTATTAAACTTTTACTATCAACATTGTAAAAATCACACTTAGTTTGATCTGAAAATATATTTGAGGTCAGTGGCCAATATTTCAGTCCAAACAGAATACCATATTTTTCATACAATATATTAGTATGAGTTCACAACAAGAGATTTTTTTGTAACATTTGCAATCAATGTCAAGAAAATCAGAATGCTGCCAACCTCTTTAATTGCTTACTTTTGTTATCTTCATGAAGAACTGTTAAAATTAGTTGACACACTGAAAAAGGAGCAGAATTGTAAAATAATCTGAAAGGGTTTATAATTGCATGTAGTTAGGTAGTTTGTGGAAATATCCAAATAATCCAGCAAAAAGAATATTTTATGTTTCCATAAAAGTTATAACTTAAAGTGGTATTCTACTCATGATAAGTTGGACAAAAGCAAAAAATATGTAGACACTAGATACAGTACTTTAATGATCAAGACTTATTTCAAATTATGATCTCTTGTGTTGCTCTATGTGCTGTACCCATTTTTCATTTATCATTGATGATATGCTATGTTTATGATGTGCCAAGACAAAGCTGAACTCCTAATGGCACAGGGAACTCCTCTCTACCAAATGCATTGTCCTTTGTGGCAATAAAAATACTCCTTTAGCATTTCTCAAATATATAAAACTTATTTCTATCATTATTGCTATCTAATACAAACAAAAATAAATATGATATTCATTCTGGCATATCTTTTGGGATGTCGGTAGAAGTTTCAGTAAACGGTTTATTGATGCAACTAATAATATGATGAGGTTTCCTAAGAAACATCTTTTCGGGGCCGGCACCGTGGCTCACTTAGTTAATCCTCCGCCTGCAGTGCCAGCATCCCATTTGGGCCCCGGGTTCTAGTGCCAATTGCTCCTCTTCCAGGCCAGCTCTCTGCTGTGGCCCGGGAGGGCAGTGGAGGATGGCCCAAGTGCTTGGGCCCCTGAACACGCATGAGAGACTGGAAAGAAGCACCTGGCTCCTGGCTTCGGATCAGCGCAGCACACCAGCATTAGTGGCCATTTTGGGGGTGAACCAACGGAAGGAAGACCTTTCTCTCTGTCTCTCTCTCTCTCACACACTGTCTATAACTCTGTCAAATAAAAAAAAGAAACATCTTTTCATTTCCGCAATAAATATGGCATATTTTGATGAGCTATTCTACTTATATTTGTAACATTTCATAATCTTAAGTATTGCAGCATTTTCACTTAGTTTCATTTCATTAGATTCTGAAATTAGAAATATATTTTTTATAAAAAGCAGTTTCACCTCATGCTAATTTGACATTGAACAAAGAACATGCTCTTACCTAAAAACTGAGAATTTCATCATTTTTATTATCAGAATCTGAGGATTTAGATACTTATGTCTTTGATAATACTTTTGATTTGTCTTCCTAATTGATGAATTAAATAAAATATTTCTTTTGATCTCCATTCCCAGCCACTGCATTGGTATTAATGAAGGTCTCAAGAGTATGCAGAATTAAATCTTCAAAGAAGAAGAAGGGGAGTCCTTTATCCAGCGTAAGAAATACTGGGTAAGGGAAGACTACGTCTTAGAGATCTAAAGGTCTTCATGACTGATGCTCAAATAGATGCTTGTTTAAAACAGATTTTGAGGGGCCTACACTGTGGTACAGCAGTACCGACATCCCATATGGGCGCTGTTTCGAGTCCCAGTTGCTCCACTTCTGACCTAGCTCCCTGCTAATGGCCTGGGAAGGCAGTGGAAGACATCCCAAGTGCTTGGGTCCCTGTAAGAAGCTCCAGACTCCTGGCTTCAGACTGGGTGATCCAGTGGATGGAAGACCTCTGTCTGTCTCTACCTTTCTTTGTAGCTCTGTCTTCCAGATAAATAAAATAAATATTTAAAAAAATTATTAAGAGATTAATTAGTGAACTTATGGGTCCATTAAAAATAAATAGATAAAACATATTTAGGAGCTGGGAAGGAGCTAGATTCCACAGGGT